TTTATGCTATATACAAACATTGCTGGTCAGTGTGTAAGGAAGAATAAAGTTGGGATTCTTTGTGAATTGCCAGATTCTGGGTGGCTGTGTATCTTACAGGTTGTCCTGCACACACTTCCTCCGTGGAGCGTGAGGCTCCCGTTGGTTCACATCTTTGCTGACACTCGCTGTTGTCAGTGTTTTTATTTTTCCTCCATTTGCTTCACGTTTTCACTTTAGATGATCCCGAGTGCCGAGGAGACTGAGCACTTTTCATAAGCTTTGCCGCTGGTCATTTTTGACTACATCACTCTTTTGTTGTGCAAGTGCCCACTCAACCTCCTGCCCTGTTGTGCCCTGGCCTGTCTTCTCCTTCTGCATTTCTTGGAGTCCTTCACCTGTTCCAGATACCCATCCCCTGACAGTTATGTGTCTGGCACATATCTTCTAATTAACCTTTTGATTTATAATACTCTGAGTTTTCTTTCCTGATATAAAAAAGGAAATTCTTACTTGTTTCAGTTCCTTATGATCTCTTACAATGATGTTTCTGTAGCAGAGTGTGTTGACACATATCTGTAGTCCCAGCTGGTTGGGATGCTGAGGTGGGAAGATCCTTTGAGCCTAGGAGTTCAAGACCCAATATAGTGAGACCTCGTCTCAAAGAAAATAAAAGAGTTTTGTTCTGTGTCCTGTATTTCCCTAATTTGAGATCACTGACATACTAATTAGCATACTATATATATATATATATTTAAAAGGCTTTAATTTTTGGATCTTTCACATTCGTATTAAGAATCTGCCTAATTCCTAATGAAAATATAAATGTCATTATTTGAGGGGAGGAAAGTGACATACTTTTAAGAGCAAAAAGGCGATTCAGCCAGCCCTACAGAAATTGGTTTAAATAGATGTGCTTCCTTTTACATTAAAGAAAACAAAAGAATTGACCTGAAGCTGATTCAGGAGTATCAGGTGAGGAAGAAGATGATTTTCATTTTGTTTTCAGTATGTTTATCCAGTTTTCCCAAAGCTATTTATTAGAAAGTTCTTGCCCATTACTTTGAGTTGCTACTTTTATCCTGTCAAATCCCCACGGGTGTGTTGTGTTCATTGTCTCCCGAGTACCTGTCTGTCTTGGTCCGAGTCTGCGGTGTCTTAGGGACTGTAGTATGCTAATTAGTCTGCAGTGTCTACGGTGTGATTGGTCACAGCGTTCCACAGGGGGAGGTCTTTCCATCTGGTCCCTCAATCCCATTTCAGTCTCGTGGATTTTCTCGTTTGTAGCCCAGTCTGTAATCAGTTTCTCTCATATTCCTCCTGAGGTTGAAAACAGAAATTAAACATAAGTCAGTTTTAGAAGATAATAAAACTCAATTCTATTTTGGAAGGACTTAAAACTAAAACTCATCAGTGCATTAAATTTAATCTTAGGTATTGTCTACTTTTTACAAAAACCAAGTATGTATTTCAAAAGTATCGTAAACATTTTGTCAAGGCACAAATACCTAAGTGTAAGTAACTGAACTCACTCAAAGCGTGAGCCCACCAAGAACTATTCCTGGGGGGGGCTTTGCGTATGTGTGTGTCTCACATTCATCTGAGCACAGTTATAAATTAATAATTGAATCCTACATGCCGTTGTATTATTTACACAGTGTGGTGCTTTCGGAAGAAAACACAAACAGGCTGCGATCCAGATATGCTAATAGGATACTTTACTCTTTATGTCTCAAAAGTCTCTAGAAACAAGGTTTTCATGACCCTCTTTAGCACAAGGGACTCTCAGATTTGACAACTCCCATAATCAGAATTCTTCCAAGTTCCTAAACAAAATCCTATTTGAAGTGCAGGGTTCACTAGGTTAACAGCTTATGATGGAATTAGCCTGTTAAATCCGACTTTTGGTTAAGGTAAAGCTTGTGAAGGAATTCCAGCTAAACAAGGTCATTACAGAGGTGAACTGAAGCCAAGGAACCTGCCATCTACTTCCCAGTGGAGAAAAAGTGTCCCTGGTGTAAAATCACCTTGAAGGAGGAGAGCAATAAGGAAAAGGGCTTTCCATGTGGGAAGGGGGTTTCCATCAGGTGGAACGTGTTTGCAAGGGTATTTGGTGGTGGCGAGCTGGCTTTCTGGCTAATGGAGTGGAATACAAAGTGTGGACCAGCTGAGGAGTCTGGGGTTTTCCAGAGTCCTGGCAACCACACAGAACTTTCTAGAAGAAGCTTCTGAGAAGTATGTTGGGTGAGATAACTGATAGGTTTGGCAGATGGCTTTGAATATGGAGGTGAAACCAGGGAAGCTCCCAGGACAGAATGGCATAGAACCCTGAAACCATGATGGGGTCGGCAGCAATGTCAGCTGCTAGGAGACTGACTATAAGTGACTATTCTTGCAAGCAACAAGTTCTGATGTTATCCAGCCAAATGGTCTCCGTGCCTGCAGATACCTCTGAAGAGCCAAGGAGTGACACTGCTAATGGAGGACAATAATTTGTGTCCCATTCTCATGGGTACAAATAAAAATAAGGTAGCTAATTTTATTTATATGATGCTCTTTCATGTACTTGAAGAATTTATACCTTTTCATTTTTAAGCAAAATGAAACTTATTCCTTTATTTTCACTTTTTGCCTCTGAGAAGTGATCTCTTGGTCTCAGGGAGGCATTTTTGTTACTCATCTCTCGAATCTCTCCAACCCATGTACAAGAAGTTCTAGGGCCCAGCAGATCCCAGGGCACTAATAAAATCCAGTAAAATAAGCATCTGCTCATTTCACCCTTCCAGTCCTGGGGTGGCTTTGCTGTGCTGACTCAGCCTAATTTGGTTCCACATTGACACACAATGACACTTGAAACTTCTCCACACCAGCACACTGTTGTTATGCTACTCCTATTAAAAAGAAAAATATTTTTGAAAAGTTACGTTCAAAAGAAAAAACCCTCTGCATTTACTAAATGATTCATTACTTTAAATTTAAAAATTCAACTAGAGATCTGATTAAAATATAAGTAGTTCAATTGGAGATCTTTCAGGATTCTCCATACTTCCTTCCAAAAAAGTTGACTGCAGTCCCACCAGCGTCTAAAGTGTTCCCTTCTCCACATCCAGGCCAGCATCTGCGACTTTGAGACTTCGTGATGTGGGCTTTTTTCACTGGGGTTAGGTCATATCTCAGGGTGGTTTTGATTTGCATTTCTCTAATGATCAGGGACTATGAGCATTTTTTGACATGTTTGTCAGCCCCCACAGAAGAGAAAAACTCAAATCAATTCAGGGTGGGAGGCAGGGGAATGAGGGAGCAGAAGAGGGGAGGGTGATGGGGATGGCACACAGTGTGTGACACACCTCTTGGGGGCAGCACACAATTATAGGAGGGACTTTACCTAACAAATGCAAACGGTGTAACCTAGTTCTTTGTACCCTCGATGAAACTGAAACAATACATAAAAATATACGTAAGTCATCCATAACCAGAATTAATTTATATTATTGTCCCAGTAAATGTTATATTTTAATCACTTTATTGTGAGATTTTCATTAGACTTTTGGAATATCAAAAATAACCTATTTGCAACAAATAGAATTTGATGGGCCTTATACAAAATACCTTACCATTGTTTATCAAAACTGTCAAGGTCGTGAAAAACAAAGAAAGTCTAAGAAACTATCACAAATCAGAGGTGGCTCAGGAGACAGAACAACAAAATTCAACTTGATGTCCGGGTACAGGCTCCTGAAATGTAACTGGACAGGTGAAATTGAGTAGAATTGGTCATTTAATTTATAGTATTTCACTAATATTAGTGTCTTAGTTTTGAAAAATGTACTCTGTCTATACAGGCTGTTAATATTAAAGGAAGATGCTTAAATATATAGGGATTCTCCTCCATTTTTGTAACTGTTTATAAACTCCAAATTATTCCAAAATTAAAAAATAATGACTTAATAATTTTTAACTCAACTTGGCCAAAAATCTACTATATTAAGTCTTTAAAAACCAGTCTCATTTGTTAGTTTTAGGAAGAGAGTAAATTTGATGTGTTTTTTTTATTTGTAGAATGCTAAATGAAAATATAAATAGCTCCATTGTTTAAAAATATTCAAACCAATATGGGGAAAAGGGACGGAAGGGGAGGCGGGAGGATGGGTGGAGGGAGGGTAATTGATGGGATCACACCTAAGGTGCATCTTACAAAAGTACATATGAAATTTACTGAGTGTAGAATATAAATGTCTTCACACAATAACTAAGAAAATGCCATGAAGGCTATGTTAACCAGTTTGATGAAAATATTTCAAATTGTATATAAAACCAGCACACTGAACCCCATGATTGCATTAATGTACACAGCTATGATTTAATTAAAATAAAATCAAATCCTGATATTGTCGTTAATGCTACCTAAAAATGAAGATGGTATCTATTTCATCCATTCCTCATTTTATTATGAGAATTAAATGTGCTTCTAAATTCTGAATATATTGTACAAAGAAATATTTGATAAACACTAGTTGCTGAAACAGTATAAGAGAGGTGTAATCATTAAATACATATTTTTTGCTGTTTTCAGCAAACAATGTGTGAGTATCTATTAAAAAACTAAAATTCCACAAAATAAGTTAATTTTTATATGTGACATTGTTTTCAAAGACAGAAAACTTCACCCAAACTTGTTAAATCATCATTGCACAAGTACAGAGAATAGAGAATTGCTAGTCACTATGATGATGAAAATACACATTTTATATGATGCGGCATCCAAAGTATTTAGTTATATTAAAAACCATTTTATCTAGCACATTGAAAAATGCATAACGATTCCTTCACAAATAAAGTATTTTCAAAAATTGTTGTGACTTTAATTGAGAGCATGCTTATCACCCCCAAATAAGTTAATCTCTGCTCAATAAGAGCATTTTAAAAAGTGTATTCCCAGTGGGTTAATTGAATAGATAAACCTCTGATGCAGCAAACTCATGTAAAAAGATGGATAATGGGATTTCTTTATTTGTTTTAAGATTTTCAGGCGATGCTGGTTGGTTTTCAAGAAGGCTTCTAGCAAAGGACCCAGAAGGTTAGAAAAATTTCCGGATGAAAAGGCAGCTTATTTCAGAAACTTTCATAAGGTGAGTCAACTGGGGAACAACTGGACCCCTGAGAACTTGTGAAGATGTTTCTTTGATACATGAAATCTATAGAGGTAGAAATTCATGGTTGGGATAAAATTCCCCCGTTCTGATAAAATGCAAAAGTTATTTCTCTCCTTTATTTTAATCACCTGTTATAAATGCCACTGGTACCTCTGCAAAATGAAACACTCATTTTTATTGCTACTTTGTGAAATGAGATGACTCGTAACGCGACCGGATCATTCTTCAGGGTGCTGAGTAGGCATTTTCCCTCCGCTCAGGTTAATTGTGCATCTGTTACTTTGATTTAAGCTCTAGGCAATGTTTAGGAGATAAAATTTTGAATCTGGCTTTAGCAGCGCTAATAATGTTAATGTGTACGGCGTTTGTTGTTAGCTCCTTAACAAGCAAATGATCATCAGACACGCTGATGTGTAGAGACAGGACAGAAATACTGGGAATGAAATATCAGTTTCCTTAGAATTTAAAGAGTGTAAAACACAGCCCCAATGCTGAATATGCAGCTGAAAGTCACGTCTGCTGGCAGTGTCGGAACCCAGATACTTTGTAGGAATACAGAGGACTCTTACTCACAACTCGGGTATAGAGCAGCATTGCCTGTTGGTAGAATGTCTGAATAAGCTCAGTAAAGATTCTAACTTCTCACTGAAATTAGTTATACAGTAAGTTGCCCTGGATAACGTAATGAATTTATGGAGTATTATTTTGTGGGATATACTGTCCTAATTTCTCCCTTTATTAAAAATAAATGATTTGGCAGTCTTGTGCTAGCTAAAGCTATTACACAAATAATCAGCAATCATTTATATTGTATACAAACCGGGAACAAAGAGCATAAAGTGGGAGCTAAACAATGGCTCATGTGGTCCTCAACTGGCATGAAGGGCATTGGATACTAAGAATGGGGATGAGGGTAAAAACTTATCTATTGGTAGGATGTGCATATTCCAGTGGTGGGCACGCTAGGAGCCCTGATTTCAGCCTTACAATTCATTCATGTAACAGGCATGCTCGTACCCTAGTATTTCAAAATAAATATTATGAAACAGCTTTTGAGTTTCACAACTCCCTGTGAGCTGTTCTATATGATAATGTATAGTTTCTGCCAGGGAACGCGAGTCCAGCTTTCTGCTCAGTCACTTTCTAGCTCGTGGGGGTTTGGTTTTCTGATGCACAAATGAATTTTAAAATTGTCGTACTATGTGTTTCCAAAGATTATTTGAGTTATAATGTCATAAAACAGATAGCACAACGCTTCCTAGTCTAATGATAGCCAAAGTTATTTGAATTCTAAAGTCCTACTGGTATTTATGTGTTATGATGATGATTTTGGCAGTAACGTTAAACCTAACTTAATGAGGAATTGCTGGTTGTAAAAACTAAGCTGTGAAGCTTAGTTTGTGAGTACAATTTTGATGGGCATATTACGTGTTCTGTGGCTCCCTGGTCAGAGGCCTTGCTGATCAGTGGCACAGCTAGCTGGTCATCTGGGGTTTAGCTTTACTGATGCCTGTAACAGGTACAATCCTCAGGAAGAGACGTCATCTGATTTTTGAACCCAGCTTTCTTTTATCTAAAAAAGGGACACATTTAGGGTGGCATTTGTGGCTCAAAGGAGTAGGGCGCCAGCCCCATATGCCGAAGGTGGCGGGTTCAAACCCAGCCCCGGCCAAAAACTGCACATACACACAAAAAAGGGACACATTCTAGTATTCTAACCACCTCTAAGAACTGGTAACTTGGCTGCAGATAGATAAGGGTGTGTACTCTGGGCAGGCATTCTGCTTCTGCTGGAGGATACAAAAATGAGATCCAGTCGTTCCCCTGGAAGGGTTTGCACTGTAGTGAAAGAGACACAGATACTCAGATAACTTCAAGGCAATACACAAATACAGCTGGGGAGGTAGACATAAATTTTATCAAAAGAATATTTTGAATTTTGCCTAATTTGGGTTTCTTTATTAAAATTTGTAAATAAATATGATATTTGAGTGGTGGAACTAGCACTGGTGATTGATGTATTGGAAAAAGCATCTCTAAAAGGCTTTCTGAGAGCTCCTTTCCCTTTGGTTTATATTCTCTTAGCTTTGCCTACCTGACCCTCTCCTTAACTCATAGTGGCGATCACAGACACTCCGTGGCCTGCTCAAAGCTAAAAAAAAATGCTAACGTCCGTTTGTCTGGGAGACTGACTCCTTGAAGGTCATTCGGCTTCTACTGGGAGCAGGGCATTTCAAAGGCCAATGTCAGTCCCTGAGTTAGTCTGTGAACTGTGAATTCTCAAACTGTGAACTGTCAGCCTCGTATGGAACTCCAGCTCAGTAATATTCATCACACCCGTGATCACTGGGCACTTACTATATGGGTAGCCCTGCTCTATGCACTAAACAGACAGTACTGTGCTTTAGTCTGTCACTATCACACCTTCTTAATAACATCAGTGTGAAGTATGCGATGGTAACTGTTTTTATTTTGAAAGGGGTGATAGACCTACTCCAGAATGAATGGAGAATTGCTACAGATAGAAGTCAGCTGAGACTCAACTACAAGAAACAAGAGTTATGAGTCATCCCTTAACAGATTCAAAGATACACAAGAAGATCATTCCAAGAAAAAAAGTAAAATTTAAATAAAAACTCTTACCAAAAAAATGGAAGTGGAAACAATTGGATAAGCTGGAGGATCTAAAAGAAGGCTGTTCTGACAGGCACGTGGGACGAGAAGAGGACGAAAGACTGAAATAGAGTCTACAGGAGGGGGAGTCTCTGAAAGGGTTTTCAGCAGGGAGCCTGGCGTGACAGGGCTAGCATCTTAAAATAGCACATTGTGTTTCTATTTTCAGCACGCAGCAGTGATCTCCTAACGGTATAATTCTCCCACAATTCACACCTAAAAACTCTGGGCTCAATACAAAAGGAACAAGTACTAGGTCCCTGTACAAAAGCAAGAAAAGTAACAGTTTGTGAAGGAGCATCTGATCTTAAACTGCGGGACCTGCACGGTCTTCCTCTCCTGGGGGCAGCTTGGCAGGGAGGGCAGGTGCAGTCACACCAGCAGCAATAATGGATGACTAAGCTACGGTAGGAAAACTGGGCATTTTTTCAGAAATCAGAGGAAATGGCACTGAGGTAACTAACCAAGGCTCCCAGAGAGTAAGGAGGAAACCGTAACAAAAGACAAAGCTGGAGAAGGGGAGCGGCTCACCGTGCGCATAGATCAGGAGAGACCAGGGCTGACATCTGAACCAGCATGAAGAGGATCAGTGAAACCAAGTCACAGCTAAGACCGCAGCATCTCCCCGAAGTCTGAGCCACAACCCACTACAGGCGTAGCAGACAGCAGGTCAGCCTTAGCAAGGGAATTACTGGCTAAAAAGCAGACAAATAAACACACTCTGAGATAAATGTAACCGAATCGAGAGTCTACACACGACAATCACAATGACCAGCATAAAATCCAACTTTCCTCAGGGCAGGACAAAATCATGAAACATCTAAGCAAAAAGGAAAATAAAATCACCTGCTGTGGAACCTGATATGGCACAGATTCTGAATGATGAGACGACGCTTTAAACAACTCTTATGCCCATGGGTGATGAGGTAAAGGAAATAACGACCATGTTTAATTTTAAAAAGGACTCTCAGCAAAGAAAGGGAAATTGTAATTATAATCCTGAAAGGACATTTTAGAACTACAAATAAGACATCCAAAATTAAAATGTCACTGGGTAAGATTAATAGCAAGAAAAAAAGTAGAGGGAATAATGAACTTGAAGGTAAAACAATAGAAGTCCTGTAATAGGAAAAAGACTGAGAAAAATCACAGTAAAAAATGAGAGAGAATGAGAAAAAAAGAGCTTCAGGGCTTGAGGGACAATTTCAGTTTCTGACATGGGGATAGTCTAACCATTGCAGAATGAAAGAGGATGAGGCAGAAAAATATTAAAATATTATTTCAAATACTTTATTAACATTTACATATTAATGCCTGAAAAATTCCAAATATGATGGAAGACATCAATTTACAGAATTAATAAATTCCATATAGTTCAAACAGAATTTTTTGAATATGAGCATTTACTCTTTACCTTTGAATATCAGGGTACACTTCTATTCTCAGCACAGAAAGAATGAAGCAACAGGCTTCATAATATCCTATCTTGTCAGTACTCAAGGCAGGTGGTTCCCAGAGGCTAATAGAACACACAAAACTTTACAAAATACTTGTAAATTATTCTCTATATGTTGGCCACCTCTTTGTAAATTTTTTACTGAATATTTTGTAAATAAAGGTATGTTTAGCTACAAAAAAAAAAAAAAAGAAGAAAATGAAAGAAAAAGAACCATGCCTAGTCACTTAAGGGCACTGTCACTTTGCTTATTTCATGTTCCAAAGACCCCTTCAGCCTTGACCATAGCTCCACTTTATGGTTTCCCCACCTCTTCCTAGTTGGGCAGACCTTGGAGACCTCCTTCCAGAGCAAACACCAGTTAAGTCCTTGGACGGTCCCTAGACGTGTCACCTGCTTCTACTTGGAAGCCCATCTGGTCATTTTGTCCCTCTTATTATCCCGTATCCCTACCTAACAGTAACTGATGACATACAGGGGAAATGGAGGAGAAAAGTGAAATTTCCTGTGTTGATGATAGACCGACCAATGGTGACGCTGTGCATGGATCCAGGAAGCACATGACAAGGAGTAGTTTCAGTAGTGAAGAAAAAATGTCATTCTTGACCTATGACATTGTCATATGAGATATCAGTGGTATATTAGATGGATATTTTCATGAAGCTATTCAAAATACAGAATATTGTAGTGAAATTGCTCAGGAAATATATTGAACAGAATTAACGTTGAAGAGGGTATATAGCAAAGTCTCTCTAAAGGCAGATCATGCAAAATTAAACTTTGTAATAAGACTTTTTCTCAAAATGACATGGACTTTGAGACCAGCCTTACCAGTGATATTTCACAG